AGCTCGTATATAACACCCAATACAGCAATTTCAATGGTTATGCGCTTATTGCTTCAGTTTGGTACGGTTCACTCGCATCATTTCTTGTTCATATTTGGTCAGGGTTCTAACTAATGGCGCTCTCTATGTTCAGCTTTCTGTCAGCTGAAAGGAGAAACATCGCTGCTGCGGCTACTGTCATTTAAAAACAGAACACAATTATACTCACATTCGGCCAGGCGCGAGTTTACATTCAATACACTGGTACTCGGTGACATTTCGTTTATTCGTACCTGGTGCTTGTGTATAAATGCATATCTAGCTCTCTGCCTCTCCGGTTATTGTCAAATCGACACATGATTATCACCAGTGTCCACGAGTGAATGAAATAAAAGGTGCAAATGCCCGTTAATGGTTTACTTTATTTATAAAAAAAAAAAACAATCGCTTTTATATTCACATATGATAATTGGTTTTTAATTTCACAGCGAACACTTTATTTTGTCGGTGTATTTTATTTCATGTTCAAATATATTTGTTCAAACTTATACGATGTTATCACAAGTGATTATATTATAAATCGCAATGTTTATTGGAATTGGAGAAATAAAAACAAATTAATGATAATAATAATTATTGTTGATGAAAGTGTTGATGAATCTTATTTTACTCAAATATAGGATACTATATAGAAAATAAAAATACTGTGAACATCGATCCAGATTTGGATTGAGTTGATGTTGCACCAAACACACGAGATAGGTCCGATCTGGCTGAAACCAGAATATTCAACATTTTGGCATATTGTGTGGTAGGGTAGGAAGCAGTGGTCTAATATTGTAAATTCTTTTACGTCACTTTAGAATGACATAAATAATACCATGTGCCAAGTTTAGATTCTATCGGATCTCCGCTCCAATTTTATGTAAAATATTTTTTCTATGAATTTAGAACTCTTGGATGATGATTATATAGAAAGTGGACTTATACTTCCCATTTTCACTCCTGCTGTAATATATTGAGACGGGCTAAAGTTGAAGAAAATCGAACACTGATTCGACATTTTACGAAAGTTATTGTTATATGTTGTTATATGTACACAGAACAAATTTAGTTTATCGTGCACCAGATTTGTTTTATATGAGATGTATGTGTTTATATATATATATATATATATATATATATATATATATATATATATATATATATATATATATATATATATATATATATATATAAATTTTTTTTTTTTTTTTTTTTTATACCCTACACCACATAGTGGTAAGGGTATTATGTCTTTGTGCATTTGTTTGTAACATGGAGAAGGAAACGAGATAGACCCATAGTTACTTTTGAGAACCTTCATAGAATCACTTTCTGAGTCGATTTATGCATGTCAGTCCGTCTGTCCGTCCGTCCGTCCGTCCGTCTGTCCATGTATTCTTGTGAACAAAATGCAGGTCGCATTTATTATCCGATTGAGATGAAATTTTCCAAACAATGTATGTTTGGCCCAAGGACGAACCCTATTGAAATTGGTGAAAATCGGATCAAATTTAGATATAGCTCCCATATATATCTTCATCCGATTTCGGGTTAAATGTGCACCAAATGTCCACTATCAGTCCAAATTACCTGGATTTTGGCACACCCAACCGAGTTCGGTCTAGAAGCAAGTATATCAAATTTGGAGAAAATCGGTTCAGATATAGCTATAGCTCCCATATATATCTTTCATCCGATTTGATCTTTAAGTCCCTCACATTCCTACTATGCACTCCACAACCGTGATATTTGGTACCAGGTATTAGATGGAGCACAGAAATAGCTGTTTTAAATTTTATCGAAATCGGTTCAGATTTGGATACAGCTCCCATATATATTTTCATCCGATTTCGGGTTAAATGTGCACCAAATGTCCACTATCAGTCCAAATTACCTGAATTTTGGCACACCCAACCGAGTTCGGCCTAGAAGCAAGTATATCAAATTTGGAGAAAATCGGTTCAGATATAGCTATAGCTCCCATATATATCTTTCATCCGATTTGATTTTTAAGTCCCTGACATTCCTACTATGCACTCCACAACCGTGATATTTGGTACCAGGTATTAGATGGAGCACAGAAATAGCTGTTTTAAATTTTATCGAAATCGGTTCAGATTTGGATATAGCTCCCATATATATCTTCATCCGATTTCGGGTTAATTGACCACCAAATGGCCAATATCAGCCCAAATAGCCCTAATTTTGGCACATGTGACCGAGATTAGCCTTAAAGCAAATACAACAAATTTGGAGAAAATCGGTTCAGAAACAGCTATAGCTCCCATATATATGTTTTATCCGATTTGGTGTTTAAGCCTCTCACAATCGTAATATGCACTCCACAAGAATGATATTTGGTACCAGATATAAGATACAGCCCAGAAATAGCTGTTTGTAATTTTATCGAAATCGGTTCTGATTTGGATATAGCTCTCATATATATCTTCATCCGATATCGGGTCAATTGTGCACCAAATGGCCGATATAAGTCCAAATGGACTGAATTTTAGTACATCGGACCAAATTCAGCCTAGAAGCAAGTATATCAAATTTAGTGAAAATCGGTTCAGATATAGATATAGCAACCATATATATGTTTCATCCGATTTAGTGTTTTAGTCCCTTACATTCGTAATATTCACTCCACAACCGTGATATTTGGTACCAGGTATTAGATGGAGCACAGGAATAGCTGTTTTAAATTTTATCGAAATCGGTTCAGATTTGGATATAGCTCCCATATATATCTTCATCCGATTTCGGGTGATTGACCACCAAATGGCCGTAATAGCATCAATTTTGGTAAATCCGACCGAAATCAGCTTAGAAGCAAGTACACCAATTTTATTAAAAATCGGTTCAGATATAGCTCCCATATATATCGTTCATCCGATTTGGTCTTTAAGTCCCTCACATTCGTAATATGCACTCCACAGGAATGATATTTGGTACCAGATATCAGATAAAGCCCAAAAATAGTTGATTTTAATTTTATTAAAATCTGTTCCGATTTGGATATGCCTCCAATATAAATCTTCATCCGATTTCGTGTTAATTGTGCATCAAATGGCCAATATCAGCCCAAATCACCTGAATTTTCGTACATAGGACCGAATTCAGTCTAGAAGCTAATACGTCAAATTTGGAGAAACCCGGTTCAGAGATAGCTATAGTTCGTAAAATGCACGATAGAATTAGATAGATTTTGATTTTGTACCATATATCTCATAGAGCTCTGATATGTCCTGTATAAACCTTTTTATGAGAGCTCTACTAAATATGCATAGTGGTGTAGGGTATCATATAGTCGGCCCCGCCCGACTTTTGAGCTTTCCTTACTGGTTTTTTTTTGAAATTTTGAATGTACCCATTTTGTCCATTTTTAATCTTATCTAAATGATACGATGTGTAAAGTTCGAACTACAACAGACTCTCTCTCTCTCTTCACTAAATATGAACATTGTAATATTTTACAAAAATTTTAAACTATTGTGCGTGAGTTACTATAAAGAGCGGACCCACGCATTCCATTTCCACACTAACCTACTTTAAAATTTTATGTTTGAAAGTTACTGATTATTGTCGGTAACGACACAAATAGTTAGAAAATCCCACTATAGACCTTCCCAGCAGAAATGGGCTGATAAGTGGAATAAATAGAAGTATTGCGATATGTTAAGTTTACAGACATTTGGTGTAGTGTCACGCATGTTATAAAAGTGTTAATTATTTAAAATTTAGAATTTTTTTGGGGGATGTATTAGAAGGAATGAACCGAGTTCGTCCCTTTTCTCATCTGACCATAGGCAAATACAAATATTAAGATGTATCCACTTTGTTTATTATAATGTAATTTCATTTCACTGAAAATGTTGACCTTTTATATAGAAAGTACCAATTGGGCCGATTTTGCCCATTTTCGAAATAGCTTTGAGATTGATAAAATAATACGATGCGACAAATTTGGCCAATATCGGATATTTTCTTTTTAAGACATACATATTAACAGATTGTCGGGCAGATATCGCTTGATGAACTCCAAAAGTTCTGAAGAGGGTTTCGTTCAAAGAAGGCAGTATCAAATGTTGGCTAAGGGTATAAAAAAGGAAATACGCCACAGTTATTAAAGTGCGGAGTGGGAAACAGTTTGTGAAATATTTAAGCCCTTTAAGCTCTTTTTAAAAAATATAGAAAAAAATAAAGAAAAAATTTCTCCAAATACATATATTGTGTAGTGGACCTTATTTCTCATTTCCAAAACATGACCTTTGTTACATTTTATATGACTTAGTTTAATTGACTGATATTCCTACATGTCCATAGGACTTTACAATGTCTACAGGGCTTTTGGCATGTAGAGTTTGCCATGTTTGTTCACGATTTACATAGCCTCTATAACACACACATGCTTTTGGTCCATTAGCGATGGTTTCCATCAGGTTTCTTGTAGAGTCGTAGTCAAGAAGTGTCCCTGAAATAGCCCTGAAATAGAAATTATCTGCCCATATTATAAATAAAAAGATGAAAATATTAACAAAATATTAACTTTTTGGACACATTTCGAACCTTGAAAGCATGGTACAATAAAAAGGTAAGGTAGAGCTATCAGCTGTTTTTTCTAAGTGTGCCCGACTTCTGCCAATTTTGTGTGTGTATTTATTGTTTTGAAAATTCCTTATTGTACCATGCTTTAAAGCATTAACCATATTTTCCTTCCAACATTAATGTTTGCCAGTTACTTTTTCTTAGCTCAACAAAATTAAAATAATTCATAATGATGCCTAATTTTCATTATTATCAGAAGAGTTTTCATATGTGTTGTTATATATAGTAGTGGTGATATCAAAAATTAAATTTGCTTCGCAAAAGATTAGAAAAATAAAGCTTTTTTAGCAATGTTTATGTTGATAAAAGTCAAGATAATATATTTTTCTGCAATTAAAAACACACACAAGAAATCGTAAAAATCTTACCGGAATAGTAACTGTCAAGACTCAGTAAGTCCTCATCCATATAATCATCTTCCAAATCATCCAACTCATTTGGGTCATCATCATCTTCATCGCCCATGTCTTCCCCATCGACGTCTTCTTTTTCATCTTTTTGGATGGTTTGATCCTTCAAGGAACTACACTCCTTTTCAACACACTCTTCAACAATTTCAATAGCTAGCTTCGTCATTTCGTCTTTATTCGCTGCAGAGCCGTGCGTGTGGTTCTCCGTAATATGACCTGATGAAAGAAATACACAAAGAAAAACAAATACTCAGTTGAGATTATGTTGATCATAAACACGTACATATGTATATCGGACCACAAAAATGTACTCCTCGTTGCCATTCATACTGCAAGCATGAATATCCATGCATCCACAGAAATAATCAAATAATTACATTCTAACTAAAAATGCATTAACGTGCCAAATTCCCAAAAGCGAATTATTTTATGGAAAACATTTCACAGGTACTCACACTCGAGCACATACCTTGGCTCGCCCATTCAATCGCTTACCCACAAAAAAAAAAAACTTTAGAAAGTGTTAACCTAACCGTACCGAACGGAACCAGCCAGTCAGGCAGCCAACCAAATATGCCCAAAATGCTCCAAAACCAAACTCCAAACACAATAACACACACGCTCACACACACTTCCACGACATGCCTGCAAGGCAACAAACAAGTCTTCGAGACACCAAGGAATGCCACAACAAAGTTTAAAAATCTGCTACTTCCACACAGTCAGCCAGCCATACACAATGGTGCCGCCGAAGATGATGCCATAAGTGTGTGCCCAGGGTCAAGAGGCACGGAGCCCTTCAGAAGAAAATCAATATGTTTCGTTTAAACTTCTACCCAAGCAAGAAATTTGCAACAAGGCGGGCGCACATGGCCACTACTGTGTGGGAATGTTGTGAGTGCCAGCCAAGACCTCGCAACCAACTCCAACCTCCAACTACTGACACATGCAATACTTTATGTAGAGTACATTGAGGATACCATAATGTTCGACATAGCTGCGGCTTGTCCCAGGTGTAAGGAATTTTGATTAGTCAAATCCCAGGGGTACCATAATTCCCCCACAGTAGTGCCAGTGCCAACCATTCAGTGTTACAGCCCGGCAGCCAGCCACCAGCCATAAAGAGCAAAGGCAGCAGCAACAACAAGAGTTGGCGAAGGGCACCACAAGTAAGTGGAGCGGGGGGAAGGTGGTGGTATTTGTTGTGACACACAAGTCTCTTTTGCTTGAAATGTATTTTTGCAGAGAATTCTGGTATTTTCAAGAGATTAAAGAAAGGTGAAAATAGCGCATGTCCCTGAGAGATATTCCTATCCAAGGCAAATGTATAAAGAGTATTGACGATAGTATTTCTCTTAGGTCGCTGCCAGAACAGCTGTTATTTTTGGAACGTTGTAAGAGGTATTTTGGAAAATAAAAAAAAAATATTTATAAATATATCATATGGATATTGCAGTTCTTTTGATTAAACAAATAATGTCGTTGTAAAGAAGGCCTTGAGCCTCTGAGAATTGTAATTGTAATCGCTTAACATTTCCACAGATATGAACTTTGCGCCCGTGCAAAATTTACTTTGGCCAAGCTCATCGGCCCGATAATGTAACCCAAGCTATATCAATAATATTTACCGTCTAGGTCAGATTGGTCATGACAAGGAGTAATTTTAAACTTAGCTTAAAGCTCTTTGAGAAACTCATTATTTTTGGAGTAATTCAAACGGATGAATAGTTTTCAAAATAGTTTAAAAAAATGTGTTTTAGCCTAAAATAGTTGGTTTTGCGGAAAAAATGTTTTGTGGCTTCAAAGGAAAAGTAAAGCTTGAATTGAAAAGTATGATCGATACCCCTTAAAATATTTCAAAATAATAGTTCACCTTATGAGGAAATTATGGCACAATCAAGACATCAGTAAGAAACTAACAAAGTTCAGACTGGAATGTTTTCTACAATTTCGCATCAACAATTAATGGAATGAATTTCTTGAGAGCTTGAATCACCAACTAATAACTTTCATTTCTGGATAAGCATTTCATTTTAAGTAATTTTTGGTAGCCGTAACTATTAACCTATCGGTTGTTATAAACTACAACGCTATGTTGTGAAGGTAAAATAAGTTTGTAACAACTCGAAATAATGGTATACATTATATTGGACATCATATCCACAGGTCTTTAATTTGTAATCAAACTACATGTCGCAATTGTGTTCCGATCTTCACGAAATTTTTAATGGAGTTAGGATAATGGTTAGAAGCCTATATATATTTACACCCTCCACCATACTATGGAGGATATATTAACATTGTCATTCCGTCTGTCAAACATGTCATGTCAGACCCAACAATGTATACATATTCTTTATAAGCGTAGTCGATCAAGCGATGTCCGTCTGCCTGTGTGTCTGTTGTAAACACGCCATCTTTCGAGCGAATTGAGATAGAAGTCTAAAATTTTGTATTTTGCCAGAAGGTAGGTTAAGTTGTAAAAAGGCTCATGTCGATGCAGGTTTCCATAGAGCCCCCATGATTGATGATTTGATGATTTTAGAGATTTTTTTGAACTGTTTTAAATTTCATAATTTATACTACAGCCTATGCAGGTCGACGTCTTCGTTTAGCCCCATATAAAGATGACTCCCGATATTCGATATTTTGATGGGTTTAACAACATTTTCAACCGGAATTGCTTAAATTTTGGTATTCAAAGGTTTTAACGGATACTACAACTTATGACAAAAAATTACTTATGCAGTTCCTCGCGAAAAAATGAACAAAAACAGTTTTCTTCAAACTTGGCAATCCCTATACAGGTCAAATTATGCGGATTTTGCTATACTTGAAAGGGTACTTCTGATCTATAAAATCATAACGATTTCATTGACGTTTAAAAGAGACATCAGAAATATAGCAATATATACAGGAGTCTAAATTTTGAATTCTCATCGAGACTAAATATGTAAATATTGTCACGGAATATTGCATGGTATCTTTGGTCTGACCGAAAACAAAGACATTTAGTTCTTTTTTAAATTTCATGGAAACGGAGATTTCTGGAAAATATTTTTTGTGTGATTGCGAAGATTATTCAAGTGGAGGAATGTACACTGGTGGCCAAAACTAAAGCAACTAAAATCGCAAAGACAATAAATGTCCTGTAACTTTTACAAAAATAAAAACATTGTAATTATTTTTCCAGTTTTTAATGAGGTGCTTAATTCACTTTTAGAAAACTAAAAATAAGAATACAAAAATAATATTGAATGAAAAATAATATATGGAAAACTAAAATGACCCAATTTTTGCTTGGACAAAACTAAAGCAACTTTTTTATTTTTTATTTTAAAATAATTAAATTTTGGCTAATAGTCGATAGCATCCATTATTTTTGATAGCAGCTGCACCCCTACGAGGCATTGAATCTATAACACGCTCAATTTGATCCTTGGGTATGCTTTTCCAGGCACACTGAACTCTTTAGAAAATGTTGTGTTTATTTCTTTCCGAATCTCGCTTGATCTTCCTATCTACGATACTCCAAAGGTTTTCTATGGGGTTTAGGTCAGATGATTGTGAGGACATGACATAACACCGATTTCTGACCTCCGCAACCAATCTTTGAGAAGTTTTGATGCATGCTTCCGATCATTTTCAAGCAGAAATGCCCACATAAGCCAACTATTTTCCTCAGCGGAAGGAAACAACGTGATTTTCAACACATCTTTGTAAACAAACCGATCCATAACTTCCTTTATTTCATGGATAGGCCCAAGTCCATAGAAAAAAAAAAAAAACAGTTCCACACAATTTTTGTCCCTCCCTCATGTTTCACTGTACCCTTGCAACACTGCGGCTCAAGTCTTTCATTTTTTTGGTCTTCTCATCGTAAAATTATTCATGTCAGAGCCTTAATATTAAACGTAGACTCATCCCAGAATAAAATGTTTTTCCATTGAGCTGGATTCCGATTAATATTATCGTTTCCGAAAGCCATCCTGGCTTTCCGATTTTTTCAGATATAAATGGCTTTTTTTGATGGCTTACGGACATGCAGACCAGCTGCCACTACACGTCTACGTACTGATCACGAGCTCATATCCAATGATAGCTCTCTCACCAATTCAATTGAATTCTTAAATTGTTGTTTTTTATTTCTCTCACAATTTGTTGATCAGAACGAGCTGAAGTTTTTCACGGCCTTCATCCCTTATAGACTGTTTCTACATTTCCAGTTTCATAAAACCGACTTAGTATACGAGAAATCACATAAATATTTATGAAATATTTCTCGGAAATAATTTTCTCCGATAGCTTGTTATAATTTGCTGTTTTACTTAAGTTCTGTATTTGCTTCTAGCCATTTTTAAACTTTTATGGGCAGTACTTAAAAAAAAAACAAACATATGCTGTTGTAGAAAACTTCTCAAAAATGATTTATGACAAGCGAAATTGTTGAAGGAAGCAAAAAGCGATAAATATAACAGTAAAAACATCTGAAATTGCAGCGATCATATGAATGTACAACAGAGTTGCTTTTGTTTTGTCCAAGCCAAAATCGGGTTAATTGACTTTACTATACATTATTTTTTATATAAAAATTAATTTTGGTTCTTTGTTTAAAGTTTTTAAAAAGTGAATAAAGTGCCTAATTTAAAACTGGAAAAACTTTCTAATTTTCTTAATTTTTAAAAAAGTTACATGACATTCATTCTCCTTGTAAGTTTAGTTGCTTTAGTTTTGGCCACCAGTGTATGTTAGAAATCAAAACTTTTAAAAATTATGGGTAAGTAGCTTGATAAGCAAGAAGCCACCACTACCAAAAAATGGATAGAATGGATTATTTGGTAATGGAATTTTTTCCTGCATTGAAGTGGACGAAATTATCCATTACATTTCTAATTCTGACACAGTAATTCGTCGTTCGTATAGAATAATCTTTTTAACAGCCAAGTGACTGATTAGTATGAACAAATACCTACATTTGTGGCCCAAATTGTTATTGTCAAAAACACGAAACACGACCTGTTGGTCGACCTGTTGGCGTGTTTCTTTACCAAGTACTTGACATTACTGCCTGAATGGCAGAAACGAAGAGAACGGCGACGACGAGAACAAACATGATTTCTCTTTGCACAATAAATTGACAAATTGCTAAAGAAAAGAGCATTTGCGATGTGTGAATGTGAAATGGCAAAAGGCAAAGACAAAGCGACAACATCAAC